GAGAGAGAGAGAGAGAGAGAGAGAGAGAGAGAGAGAGAGAGAGAGAGCACAGAGAATGAGCATAGGAGAAATATAAAATTCTGAAAAACGAGCGCATTTCATTCGGAAAAAGGATCAATGAACTACTTACTCACCGACAGAAGGGCAAACATCGACAACTTTGAAATGCAACAACAATTTCGAACGAACGAATGAGACGAACGCGGGCGCGCGCATCCGACAACCAAACCAAACACATAGAATGAGAGATAGATCCAAAACCATACCAATGTGTGTACACGTACTTGTATGCAGTGCAGTCCCAATGATGGAATATATGTATCGCATGAAAAAAAAAATCGCAAATATTGTGCACCTAATGAATTTTGCTGTAACGCATGGGCGTATTACGTACATTCAATGTTCGGACACATTTTCAAATAGATTGTGTACTTTAGTATCTTTCGATCTCTCTCTCTCTTTCTCTTCCTCCTTCCCTCTCTATCTCTCCCTTTTTCTCTTTCTCTCTCGTTTTTACTTGTTGCAGCCGCATCGCATCCGAATGTTTGGATTGGAGCCATGGATCAAACTGCATTTATTTTCGTTAAATCTCTTTCTCACTCGCATTTGCAATGCTTCTTTGTCGATGAGTCTATTCCCTCTCGAAGTGCATTGTGTAATCTGCTCAAGCTATTTGAACTTGACTTAAGCCATTTTGATTTTATCTCCTCGATTTTTTTTGTATTTCAATAGCTCGAGTTAGGAAACTCAATCCTATTTTCTATTTTTATCTAATTCTTTTTTGACCATACGTCGTTTAGCCACATCGCGAATGCACGAGAGGCACACTTGCAATGGCTAAAAATGTGAATATAATTAAAGCAATCACATTCATGCTGAGCATTTATCATCGAGGTGTGAAATTTTATGACTCTTTGTATGCTACTTAGTTTTATGCACAGAAGTGGTTTTAAGAAATCGTTGACATACGGAGGCAGTGACATAAAGAAGAAAACAAGAGCATATTTCTATGTCTAAAAAGAGATCGAATTTGAGGGAAGAGAAAATCTGTTGCCTCAGAACAGATGCAGAGTGATATGTATCTTCTTCTTTTTTTAAATTCTCTATATAGCGAGAGCAATGCAATAGAGAGATATGTTGATATCAGACATTTTGCACAACATGAGCAATAATAAAACGCACGACTTTTTGCCTATTTTTGAAGATGCACATATAAATTTAGACTCAATACCAATTGACATTTCAAATGAGCGCGAAAAAAATAAATCTGTTTTTGCGAACAGCAAATTATTATTGTTGTAATATGCAATGTTCGAATTTTTCTTGGAAAAGTCGAATGGATTTTCGTCGATACTCAAAAATCCAAAAATAAATTCTAAATTTTGACATATTCCAAATCTATTGGAATTAAATGGTCAGACACATGGATTAAAATTGATTTTCTCATTTCAGATCACTTCAAAGCTATTAAACCATTGAGATTATTCCAGAATGATAATCTCTTTCGTTGTACACAATAAGTCGTTTTTCAGGATTTTTCTTTTTTTTTCATTTCAGTACAAGTTATTGTAGAATCCGATAAAATGCTTTGTCATTTCGACTACAAAAATGTTGCACCGAATTTCAAATGAATCGTTCAACTTTCAAATAGTTCAAATGCGAGAGCTCAATAACTTCCAGTAGATGGCGCTCCATCGGCAATACTTACAGTGCTTTTATCAAAGTAAACTTTGCGAAATCAAGTTCAATTCCAATGAAACGAATGCTTTCCTTTTATTTCTGATTTCGAATAATTTGCTTTATTGATTTTAATCGTAATTTTGATTCCATTTAAAACGGAAGATATATGCATGTAAAAAAGAAATCCCGATGAAAATTCATCGAAATAATAAAATTGTATGTTATAAAAAAATGCACCAATTTTTTTAGTTTAAAAACCGTTCAAACAATGAATTTGAACCTTTGAAACGACCTTTCTTCTTCTATGGGACGGCTAATTTTTTTTTTAATTTACGTTTCGCATGATTTTTTTCTTCTTCTTCGTCTGCTTATCGTTATTTGCGGACTGAATTCAATCCGCTATAAAATTTGCGTTGTGCATCCATTGAGGCACTCTAATTTCATGACAAATTTTCTTTCTCCCTCTTTCTCTAGATCTATTCGCTAAATAAAATTCTCCAATCGAACGAAAAACGCTTTAAACAACTATATCACCTAGGTATTTTGATTATAAATGTTCACACACGCTTAATATTTAAAGAAAAAAATAAAAAAATAAGAATTGTGCAATTTATGTCCATCCAAAGTCAATGCCAGTCATTTGATAGAACTTCATGTTGTACGGGCGATAAAATGCTTTCAGTTGCACATAAGCAATTGGGCTAATGGATGGATGATTACGACCTTTACTTTTGCCAAGGCAATGCGGCGACGACCGTGCCTCCGATTTGATCAAACATGGAAAACCCTTTGATGAATTGAAATAAAAGTATTTCTCGGTTATAATACGCTTTAAACCGAGAAAATCTTGTACACGACCGATTTCAAACCTGTAAAATTGTTCCAAGGATTAGATTTTCGAATGGATTCAAGAAATTGGAGCCACTTTGATCAAAAGAATTAACGTGTTTTAGGGAATAGGATTGAGTATCAATTTTTATACAAATTTGCCAAATTCAACAATAAAAACAGTTGGAATTGAAAGAATGACGGAACAATGAACGAAAATATTAACAATTAGAAGAAAAAAAATCAAGAAAAAGAAAAGAGGGAAAAAAATTGGAGAATTCAAGAAACAAATTAAACCGAGATTAAATTTGATTACGAAGAAAGTAAAAAATAATCAGAAAATTATATGAAAATTGTACAAAAAAGTTTTTATCATCAAAATTTAAATAGATTGATAGTACAAAAAATGAAAACTTACGCTGGGTCAACGATTAAACGTTCACCGCTGACAAATAAAAATTGTGATAAGCTGAAGTATTGTAGCCATCGTTCCAAGTATCTGGCATACAGACCAATTTTGATCGGACCCCATGTGGTATCGACGGTACCTGTTCAAAAAAAAAGAAGGTTCTAACATTAAAAAGATGTACAAAGAAAACAAATGTGATGATAGTGAATTGGATTTTTTCTTTATGAAATTCCTTGCCGGTGGTTTGATTTAAAAATGCCAAGTCTTCGAAGCTTTTCATTTCTTTTCGTTTGCTTGCAGCTTGAGTGTAGTCGCTGATGGCTCTTGTGACTGGATCTCGCACGACCACCAACAGCCTGAAATGAAACGTGAAACAGAAACACCTAATCATCGAGTCCAACTGATTTGACATTGCTAATGGGTTCAGTGTAGCAAGGGAGAAGCTTTTTTTCATACTTTGTGCTTGGATTCATGTGATGAACGCGAAACGGAACATCTTTGGTGATGAAATATGATGGTGTTTTTTCCATTGTAATTTGGCCGTCAATGGTCGGTGGCATGTGGTTACGATACCAGTGTAGTCCACGATTATAGTGTCGATCAAAAAAGTGGACCTCACAGCCGGCAGCACGAACATCGGGATGTAGTCGTATGAACTCGAGCAATGCTCGCGTGCCACTTTTCTTCACGCCAATTATCAACACCTGGGGCAAATGTCGATTCAACTGTTCACCTTGTTCGCTAAGCAAACGGTATTTTGGCGTGAAATCTACTTCACTCACACCTGTCAACGGAACATTCTGCACAATCGTATCGACCAACTGAATCTCAAGCACTTCAGTGAAATTGCTTGACGTTGTCCGCTTTGACTCTTCGGTTACTGTATGAGAGTTCTATATTTGACGAAAAAAGAATCACAACATTCATTGGTATGAAAAAATCAATTTAAAGCTGAAATAATGGGCTCGTCACTTGGCTTCTTGCCGAATAAAACTTGCTAATAGAAAGTTAGAATTTTTGGATTTTGAGAAGAAACTTGTTTAGGTAATTGAAAAATTTAGTTTCAAAGTAAAACACTCATACCACGGATTGCATTCACTTACCCGCTGCAGTGAGCGTCGAATGGTCGGAATCAAACAGGAGTTAAATGTGAAGGAAATGTAGAGTAAAAAGATGCAAATCAAAAGTGTAGCGACCATTGTGCGATTACTAAAGTACGAATACATTGTGCATCACCGACTGTCTTGTGCTCCGGTGTAACCCTCGACCGGAAATTGACGTTTTTTCTTTTCAAATCGTATTTGCTTTCACTCGGCTTGTTTATTTCTCACGTGGCCTTACAACTAAGAACAAAATTTGTGTATGTAAACAAATGTATCAAAAAAAAAAACTTTCACAGCAGCTCGTATTCGTTTCATGTAGTGCAATGCGGAAGAAATGACCTGAAATGAGAGTGCCATTCCAATGTATTCGATTCGCTTGACGCCGAAACACATCAATCTGTCTTATTTGTCATCACATGCGCACTGCGAATCATTTGTTCTTGCGAAAAATTGATAACAGCACAATTTCAACGCGCCCAAACACATACCACACTCCATCTGATGAGCATACCAAGTGCAATGCATTCCGTATTGCCGGATGTCTAAACAGCTGTTCGCTTCGTTTTTGGCTATTTTCATCGTCGGTTAGAAAATGAATGGAAAATGTATTTTTTTGGGATGGTGGCAAAAAAAAGCGATTTTTTTCTTCTTCTTAGAAATTCAACTGGAAAATGGAAAAATGTGGGCTTTGAGCGCGTTCTGAGGTATCTTGAATATTCCGGCCTAAGTAAGGTTTGTTCAAGGTATTGTGTTATGTTGAACACTTTGAAAATGATTCAAATTTTGTGAAGTTCGTTTAACGCAAAGCGTTCAGATACAATCATTGTAGAAGTCTTCCACTAGAAGAAATTACGTTGAGTAAACTTTTCGCAGTAAATGCAAAGCAATTGGATAATGATCTAATTATAAAACATGAAACACACGTGCCACTTCATTCGCGTTTTCTCTCTCTCTCTCTCGCCATTCATCGAGATGATAACTTCACAATAGTGATAAAAACTGTTGTAAAAATCCAAATGGCTCTAAAAAAAGAATATTATCTATTGACGCATCCATTCAAGTTATTGCCAATAACGTTGGCTGAATGTCAAAGTTTCTAAAAACTTCTTCGAATATCAAAGGGCCATTTAAATGAATGACAAAAAATTGTTTGTAAAAATTCTGTAACAAAATTATTGACAAGCAATTGAATTTTGATTAAAACAAAACTTCCAATTCAATACCTTAATTCTAAGTCAATACCTTAATTTCGATGATTGTAAAGTTCGTTTACTGACGTAAATAGACCATTTTATGGTTATTTTCATTGATTTTTTTCTCTGTGTCCACTTTCGGAGAAATAGCGCAAATAAATCGCATTATCAATGAGAACTTATTGAAATGGTTGCTAAAATTAGAAACTGTTTGAAAAGAATCATCGGAAATGATTCAAAGAAAAAGTGAACAATGAGCATTCGAATTTAGATGAAGAACTTTCATCGACGATGGTTCTACTCGTCGGATTTCGACTTTGTAAAAATTGTAAAACGTGACCATTTTGATTTATTAGCAATACGTTAAATAGATAACCAATCGCTTTCTTTTTGAAATAAATTTTTTTTTCTACTTTTGCTACAGACTTCAGTCGGCGATGCATTCATTGTTGTTGCACTTGATTATTTTGAACGTTACAATTGGGTGTCAAAAGGACACATCGAATGTCAATAGACTCGTGAATATGTGATATGCAATACACTCGGTGAAAGAGCGGTACACGATTGTCACGTTCGTCTTATCGCTCACACATGCTGGCATGGGCTAATTGCTCAAGTGGCCTCTTAATTTGCCCGCATTATTTTCAACACCCCACTTTTGTTTTTTTTTGTTTTTCCCAACCTTTTTTGTTTTACTTCTGCCAACCATATTTAGTTGGTGCGAATTTATTTATAAACTGAATGCTTTAGTTCTTCAGTAACAATATTTCGATTTTATTCTACCCATTAGTGATTCAAGAGGGTTCAAAAATTTTTTGTTGTTTTTTAATTGGCGTCGCGACCACTTTCTGCGGTCAAAAATTGTGTTCTGTGACTCAAACTATGTAATCGCATCGATCCTTATCACAAATCACCTGCCGTTGAAACTATCGTCAATTTGCAATAATGACTGAAAAATTTCCAATTTAATACTTTGCAAAATCAATTTATTTCGCTTTCAATTTGTACAGCGCCCAACCAATTTCGACATTTGTATTCGGCATGGATTTGAACTTTCATTTTTCACTCGCATTGCAAGTATTGTAATTATTCACCATTTTTCGTGCTTAAAGGTCATCCCAACTCTATTACTGGAATGAAAAAAAAAACACGCATTGTAATCGTAAATAAATTGCGGGTCGGCCACATTATAAATTCAACGTTTCCCTGTGTGTGATTAAAGCTTATTAACAGTTGCGTCCATCGTTAACGTGGTTCATTCGGTTTATTCACGTGTAATAATAATAGGCCTGCGATTTTTTGTTTTGTTTTCGAAAACTCATTCTGAACGATGTAGATGTGCAGTTTTCGTTAACACTTTGACGATTCAACCATTTATATCGAGTCTTTTTCGATAGAGGAGAAGTGGGGTTTGTTTTTCTATAACTTTTATTCATAAATATTTATACTAACTGTTAGGTAAAGATTTATGGCAACTGTACGAATGAGGATTAGATGAAATTGAATAGGGAACAATAATGGTTCGAATGATTATTTGAATGAGTGTTTGAATTTAAATCTTTCTGACACCCACAAATGACATTGCCTACGAGTTTCAACTGTTTTTATTTCAATATCCAAAAGTGACTCTGAACTCACATTCGATTCGCTTGTTGATAATTTCTCTCGATTTATTCTATGCTTCCACTTAATTTAATGAATGATCCACCCAAATTGATGGAATAAATGTTTTGTAAACAAGTTTACTAATCACCACTATTTTTGAATAATTCCAAGTGCCATACTTGACTGATAATTATCAATATGTCATTATAATAACCGATTCAATGAAAATGATGACTATTTTTAAATTGCCCGTGTGGAAATATTTTGACAATTGATTATTTTGGGACATAGTCGACTGACTAAAAGTAATTATCCAGTACAAAAACAATGATCATAGTTAACCTCAATCACAAGTTGACTGCAGTCAAAAACGCCCAAAATTAAGCGACTGGCTAAAATTTAATCGGAATCGACTATTTTGCATGCAAATTATTTGCTTGTATGCCTTTAAATGCTATATTTACAGTTAAGTTTATTATTTGTTACAAGAATTGTGCGATGCAGGCAGAATTTACATATTGGTTTTCTTATTGCTTTTTGAAAGTGATCGCACTCGGCATCCACTTTTTTCATTTTTATCTTCATACATGCATCAATGTACTTTGAATTCATCGAAAATTCAATTGCAAGTCCTCATACTATCGAGCTCCTGTCGAAGGTTAAGGTGAATCATGACGATTAAATATTTTATATTTTTTGACAAAATTATGAGCATGACATTTAAAATGAAATCACTTCCTATACTTAAAAATCGGTTAGAATTTTCGGTTTAATTGCTGCATTCAATCTGGACGTCCACATTTTTAATTGCCAATATAAATGGTGGATGACATCGGAATTCCGCAACATTTCACCATCAGTTGTTTTGGAAAACGGTGAAAAATGTGCCTTCAGCTCGGTTCCCATTTGATATTGGGATTTCTAGTTTTGGTGGCCGCATTCAGATCGGAAAATGTAGTGAAATTTATTCTTTGATTTATGGATTTTTTCTATTGTTTTTCTCTTCAAATTTAAGAGATTACTGTCAACAGCTCAAATCGTGTCTCTTTCACACTGACTCGAACTTGACCGTACTGCTGATTGTTAGAGCGAAAGAGATGCTATTTTACAGTGTTGTTTAATTTGATTTTCTTTGTTGCTTAGAGACAAATATTGATTTCGGACATAAAATTTCTTTTTTCCAGTGGCCACCCAAAGCACTAATCGAGCATATGGATATACCAGCAATAGTGAAATATTGCTTGGATCAATGCCCTGGATCTACTAAAGCAGAAATGGAACTGTTTGAGAAAACGACCGATTTACAAAATTTGCCAAACAGCCGTGAACTCAAGTGTTATATGCATTGTTGTTTGGTTGAGTCCAGAACGATTTTGCCAAATTCAACTCGACTTAATATGGAAAATATGATGGTTGTAATGGAAAAATTGAGGAAAGAGGATGTAGATATTTTATTACGCTTGTCAAGGGGATGTATAAAACGCACCATGAACGTCCGAGATCCATGGGAATACGCTTATATTTTGAATACTTGTGCAAAATTGAACGATAACGAGGTATGAAATTGAATGGATGCATTTTGTTCTTTTAAGCACTGTAGGGAGTATGTTGTATAAAGGCGATGTGGATAACATGCTATAGCATCACACTTTAGTCTGATTTGCATCGACTATTGACAATTGTAATTAGCGAGTGTAGTGTGCGCGCTGTGAGATGCGACACTGCTGGAGGAATGATGAGTAAACGGGTCGTAAACAATTATAATATGAACGACGATCTGTCTACAGCACAAAGATTAAAATATTTATTTGTTTTTTTTTTAATTTGAGCCTTTACATTCTTTCTATCTTTCGATTTTTGTGTCAGAGTCTTTTCAACATTTTATTCTTTCATTAATTTCATACCTTTTTCTTTTAGCATTACTACTTCATCTACTAGCGCCTTAATTCTTCTTTAAAGCATCACCGCGAATCCCATTTAAAAAAAAGCGCGTCGGTGACTTGTGACTCGATTATGAATGTATTCGAAATTATCACGTACAAAGTAGCAGTAGAAAACAAAACAAAATCACAACATTCAAATTGAAAGAGACCGAGTCTTGATTTCTTTTTCCATATGGTGCTGAAGCGACATCTCACTGCGACAACGTAAGCTTCATACTCACAACAGAAAAAAGTGGCATAAGTTAAGAAGAAGAAAAAGAAGAAGTGCACGGTGTATACTGTAGTTGACGTTGTCGCAGTGAGACGTCGCTAGCAGCAGTCATTTGACGGCTTTAATGTAAAGTAATACATGAAATCGAGGCTTGAAAGAGACACTCTAGAGGACTTGACCGCTCATTATCATATGCGAAATAGATTCAACGAATTTTTTTCTCCTTCCAAAATTGAAGACAAAATAAAACTAACATAACTAATTTATAATCTAATAAATGGTTTGCGTTTATCATTTGCTATGGTTGCAAAGTGATGTACACTGGACAGGTAAGCTATCGCAACGTTCTAAGTCTCACTAATTGATTCGGTAGATACAAATTCCAGTGGCAGCTATTTTTTTCTATTGGCATGGAAAGGAAACACGTACTGCCGGTGCAAACTATTTTGAAATTTCGTAATTAATTTGCGCACCCATCTGATGACATTTAAATATCCATGTGACTTTGGAGAAACGTGTGCCATCACATCGTTTGTCGTCTTTTTTGACCGAGCAGTCACGCCTATTCGGGTCTTGTATTGAAGATCGCTTGAAGTATTAAATTGAATTGACATGAAATGCGTTGAAGGGCTTCTACTTCGCCAAACAAACAAAAACATGGGGATTCGATTTCAACCGTCACAAACGGAGTGACAAATGGAGACTTTAAGTCAATATTCACGGAAATAGTGCTACAACAATAACAAAAAAAACTGCCTCAACTCCTTGTTTGCGCTCTTTCAATTACCCACATTGTCAAAATGGTAATTGGAACCCTGTTAAAGGCACCATGTCGATGTTTGATTCAATGAACGGTTTCGTCAAAATGTGATTGATATGCTAATTTTTATATCTTGCAATTCATCGAGATATGACAGTTGGCCAAATAGTGAACAATTAAGCAATTTCATGGCAACCAAAACAAAAATGCCTACCGCTTAACCCGATCAAAGCGATGGTTCCATTACGGCGGCGTGCAAAGTAATTCTGTCACCTGAGGCAAATTTTCAAAATGTCGCCCTTTAAATTTTCAAGCAAAAGTTCTTTACCTAAATTACTGCATAACGGCAGTGACTTTTTTCGTTTTCCAAGAAAAGGATCTGTAATGCTATTTATGTCATTACCACACTCAAGACATATTGAGCATTCGTAATCATAAGAATCTTCAAGCATGGAACATATGAAAATTAAACCATAATAGTAACGCGAACGAAGCGAGCGGAATTTTTCTTGTTGTTTTCTATTCTTGAATAGTATTCAAGAATAGTATTCAATGAATACTATTTTTCAATTTGGCTTATTAAATGTCTTTCTTTTCCGATTTTATTTAACTTTTTTCAGTTATTTATGACTCAAATTGAAAAGCACTCTCTTGCAGCGACAGTGAAAACTGAGGCCCTTACTTCTCTTGTCAAATTTGAATTCAAAATAACTAAAAAAATCATTTGGCGGTCGAGCGCCTTTGGCGCTGATAATATCTCCCCACAAATTTTGACCCAACAAATTTTCGCTAGCTCCGCTCGCGAATTTTTCGCCCCTCTCGAAACGTTGCCCTAGGCATTTGCCTCATTTGCCTAGTACTTTGCACGCCGCCGGTTCCATATCGAACCGTTTTTGAATATGTTCTGCAAGAACAAGTACATTGGTCAATTTTTATTTCGTTTCTCGTCTAATGACGTTTTTATGACAGAGAAAAGTTGAATCTATCATAAAATATATAATTTATACCATTTGGTTCGGTACAATATGAAATGGGGCATTTTGCATTTCGGCAAACAAATTTAGGGGGTCAACACATGGAAATGAATCGAAAAATTTTCAAACAACTCGATTATTATTTTATTTCGGAATGAAGTTTTAAAGCCAAGCATGTACAGATACATATCTTTTGATCTCAAAATTAACATTGAAAACAAAAAACATGAAAAAAACAATCTTTCCATGGTTTTTCTTGTGTTTTTATTGAAAAAATACGTCGTGACAAAATCAAGGTTTTCCACGGAAAATCTTACAAATTTTCAATCGGTCGCACTATAATTCAAAAGAATGCATGCTCACCTTTATCAAAGACTTAAAATTAAATCGATTTTTTTTATATTTTGTTTGCATTTAAGCCAAATTTTTAGAACTTTGCAGGAAAAAATTGAAAAAAGAGATCAAGGCTTTGAATGGGTTAAAGAAGAGGTAATTGAGATTCAAGGTATCCAAAGAATCACTTCAAAGTTTAGGCATAATTTGCTTCACCGCTTGCAAGCATGCTGTTACCGCAGGCAAAAGTTTGAAAAAACTTGAAAATCCAACGATTTATCTCTCTTCCCCTCTATTTCTCTTTATCGCAAAACGGTTTGTACGTAAATGATAATGACATGGTTTGCATACGCAAAAAAACGAACTGGGCCCACTGCTTCTTCGCATGTCATCTGTTCGAGCATTATGAAATTGAATACGATAGAAAGGAACACTAATCACCAAACACATTTGCTGATGCATTATTCCAACGTGGGGCACTAATCAGTCAGTGTGCACTTTACTATTGAGCGTGCGCAAGTCAGTCGAGTGCGCCTATACAATTCACTTGATGTTGTATATTCACAGACCGGGCTGGCTGTCTGTCTATCAAATGGACGGTGGGCTATTGTGTGGCTTGATTGTTTTTCGTGTTTCATTTAGTTCGTCAAATAAATTTCGTTGATAATAGTGATTGATGATATTGCGCTTTTGTTCTTTCGGTTTTGTCAATCGCAACGATGAAGGTTTTTAAATAGACTTTTTTAGTTAAATGAAATTTGTTTGTTTCCGTTGGTCGATTGGCAAAACTGATATTTTTGGCATAAAAATAGTGAAACTGATTATGGTCATCAGCTTTCAATTTTGTGTGGGTATGTTAGAGAAATCGTGGTTTAGTTTTCGTTTGACGTGATGACAACAAATGATGAAAGAAATCATTCAAATTGATTTGACCGAACTATGTAAAAAAATACAACGAAAAACAGCCGCGAACATTGTAAACAGTTTTTGTTTGTCAATGTCAGACTCCGATCTATAAATTCATTTTTGTTAATATCACCGAATCACTCACAAACAATGCAGAAAAAAAATTTCAAATAGACGTGTTTTCAAATGAAAAAAAAAAATTAATAACCGAAAAATTAACGACGAATCCAGTCGGCCAGACACACGTTAAACAAGTCTATATCACAGATAAAAGGCACAAACAAACGATTGAAAACAAGACGAGAGGAGGAGAAGCAAAAACACACGCCAAACAAAATATATAATTGAATAATTATGATGATATTGTCGATCTATGACAAAATATTTCGTGCATTTGTTGTTATACATTATAATAATACTCGATTGTTGTTTCTATACTCAGTGAATACATGTATATCATGTGCGCTTAACTCTTTCGGTGCTGGACGCGCGGTTGCTGTTGTGTGTACGTGTTTTTACTTCGATCGTGCAATACACAAGGTTCTTCAAACACACACAGACCGAGTTTCGCACGAATAACAACAGCACTGTATCGATGATCGTTTAACAGCTGTAAAGAGAGAAGAAAAAAAAACAAACAGTAACACACCACAGCATAATTATCGTTATTAATCCAAGTTGAAAATTGATTTCATTGAATTAGTTTTGGTTTCGATTTCGGTTCCGTTTGTTCGATTTCATTGCATGAAGAGAAGCCCATTTTTAGTCCATGTTTTTCGTTGATCAATAATTTTCGAATATTATTTCCAGTGTGGCAGACTATCTTCGATGACGGTACATAACGATTATTGCTTAATTTGATTGAGAAATTTTTTTTTTAATTTTTCAATGTAAAACCGTTGCAAGCATATACTGCAATGAATTCAATCGGTATTGGCATCAGTGTGAGAAATTAGTGCGAAGTTTTAATTAATCATACAACAGAAAAGTAAACGAAACGGAATTGAGTTCCATGAGATAATAATTTAGTGCTCTGAATGAACGGTGTATAAACACTTGAACACAAAAGACGTTCGTTCGCGCGCACGCTCGCACGTCAATTCAACTCAATGTGATGGAATAAGCGAACAATTTAAGCAAAATTGTGTTTGTGTTTTCGGTTTATGCAATCTATCGACTGTTTTGTTCTAGAAACCGACTTAGATGTGGGGAAAAAAAGGTGGAATTTTGTGAAGTAAAGCCGCATCGATTTAAGTTCATGATGTGACACCAAAAAAAAGAACGAAAACGAAATAGCAGAAAGTGAAGATATAAAATGGGACAACAAATTTGCAAATAAACGGCGGGATGATACGTTGAAAAAACATTTACCTTCAGCTAAATTGCCCAATTTCACTCCAGCCATGTCATAAAAATCTTACAAGAGCCGAATTTTTTCTTCTTCTACCGTACACTGAGCGCAAAGAAAAGCAATACAATAATTATATGTCAATCAAACGCATAATCTTATCAATCAAGACTCATATTTGATGTGTACTAACGGTGTGCGTATATTTGTGCTGTTAGTATTTTTACGTGTTTTGATGTGGTTTCGCTCCGTAGTTCACACTTGTTTCAGTCGGTGCACGCCATAGCGCACCTAGAATTGCCATCAATAAACCTCGCCAGAAGTGCTGCCATTAATTCCACACCGTGTATGCCAGTGCATGTGAAAGGCCTCCGTAAATTTATTTTAAATGAAAACGAAAAAAAAAGAGTAAATAAAAGCAACAGCAACAGAAAAACAAACAAAAAAACATTTTATCGACACCGAATTTGACATGAAAATAAAAAAACAAAAATCTGGTGAAATTTTTGCACGAATTTATCGAGCGCACAAACAAGCAGAAGAAATTCGAAGCTACAGGAAAAAGGAAGATCAGACGCTCGTTGTCTTGCATACTCAATTTTCGCCGCGAATAAATCAGCTACACCGTGTTTTTTTCCTGTGTGTTCACTCCTAGAAACAACTTTGTTTCGTTTCCAATCGAAACGAATTGATAGTGAAGATAAGGCGGAACAAGCAAGAACGAACGCCATCGATATCATTCGACCACTTGATTTCGGGCGCTACTGTGTAGAACAATCATCGGGTTGGATCGCCAATCGGATCAGTTATTTAGGTGCTTTTTTTTATTCAAGTTTTATCGAATTTATAGTAAAATAATTTAGAAGCGTGTGATAAACGGAGTGAGAGAGAGAAGAAAAAAAAACGGTGATCAGCAGCAACGATGTGATTCGGTCCAAACTGGAATGGGTTGCAAAAGAAGTTGAAGAAGTTGTGTTGCTGCTGCCGTGTGTTTGTGAACAAGAAATCTATCGAGAGAAAAAAACGAGTGCAGAAAATAAATAGACATAAAAATAAATCAGATTTACGTAATTCAACCATCATTACGCGCTGAATTTTGAGCCCCGCATACACACACGACAAAAACAAAACCGGTCAACAGTCGATTTTGCAAGCGATGAGGAAATATCTTTTGAATATTATTGGTAAGTATTGCTGTTTGATGGCTTTTGACCAGGCCAATTCCACTAAACCATATTAAAATGTACATTAGCAATACAACGAAATCGCTACGGCGACACATCGGTTACCTATTTTTGTTTAAATGTCAAATGCAATTCGAATTGCCGTACGATGAACTGAACTCTCATGCATGCCAATCAGCTGATTGGACTATCGACATACCGGCATCAGTAATGAACCATTACCGCACCCACTCCAAACACACAAAATACGCATAATTTATTCTAAAAACGTCCTCAGTCTTTCAATCGAACTTGGGTTTTCCCTGTATGGCATTCGATCTGATGATCACAAATTTACATTACCTACATCCAGCTGAACAACAGAAAAATGAAAGTTTATTTGGCATTTTCACAACTGCATAACTCCAACAATTCACGCAACAACACGATAAAAATGCCGCTTTTAGAAACGTGAATCACTTTGCATTTGTGGTTTTTTGCTGCTGAACGACAGACAACTTCTGAAGAAACAGTTGTATACTCTGTTTGTTTACATGACAAAACAATGTTTTTGGCGAAAAACAAGGGCTGCAAGTGCATTTTGCAAACAAATAAACCAATTGAATTAAATTTTCTTATTCGGATCGAAATTATGAACTTTTTTTGTTGGATTTCTGAATGTTCGAACTTCGAACATTATAAATTTATTTCATGGTTATTTTTCAACGAAATAGCATACAAACCTTCGTCTAAATTGATTTCAACGCTGTTTTCATGGTACTGAATCGGTACTTACCGGATGTTACCGGATTTGTATTTGAACTTAAGGTTTATGTATTAACATGATTTATGTGGCAAGAAAAAATAATTTGAACGAAAACAGTTCGAAATACGAAAAAATCAATAGGAATCTAAACAAAACAAAATGAATCTAAATCCGAAATTCAATAGAACATTTTCTCAATCAAAGCCAATGAGAGAGAGAGGACAAATTGTCGGAGAAAAAACTCTGATCAAAATGAAGAAGTCCAAGCAAAAAGGGCATTTTTAAAAGACAAACTGCCAATAAATTGCATATATTCTGTTTTCTCGCTCTCTTCTCTGTGCGAAACAGCCGTATTGTGTCAGTTGTTGTTTGGAAAGTCGCAATATTTTGTGTAATAAATTGAAGTTTATATTCAAAAGCGACAGTTTATATTCAAAAATACGAGTTATTAAAAATTACCACTTGATACCGGAAAATTCAAGAATTTGCTTCACGAGTTTGCTCGACGAATTTGCTTACCAAGTTTGCTAACACTTCATTAAAATTATGTGCGAGTTTTTATTCGTTCTTATTCCAAAAACCTTAAATTTCAAAAGATCTGAATCCTTTCATCCTATCATAAATTCTACAATTGAATCGAATCAGTTCATTCGGTGATAATATATATGATAATATGCGAATGAATGAATGCGTTTTTTACTAGCTCCCGCTGTCGCCGGCTGTGATAAAATTGATTAAAATCGAATGCAATTGATTTCATAGCGTCTTTTAAAGTTTTGCAGGGCATCCAAAGCATGGGATGAAAAAAAAACAAAACGTTGTTTTATCAACTATTTGGTGATAGTTTCTGTGGCGATAGTAAAAATCGAATTTCGAACGTAACGAAACATCTACAAAAAAAGGCATATTTACGATAAGATTATGTGAGAAATTAGTAAAGATAGAGTATAGATTTGAGAATCGTAGTGAATCAAACGTAGAGTGAATGTGGAAAAAAACGCGATCAATTGTTTTTTTTTTTTTGGATTCAAGGGAGAATGGTGTTTTTGCTACGAGAGAGATAGAGCTTAGATAATGAAATTCTTGCTTTGTCGCGGTAATGAAGAAGCTTAGATTTAGATTTTGTCCTTCGTCAAGTCGGCGATGTTTTTGCTGACTCACACTTTGTATACGCCGAGCAATAGACAAAACAATGGGTTTTGCGAACGTGCCACAATGGTAACGTACGCGTATTTCACTCCTGATCTAGAGATATCCGATGGATTCATCGTAAACATACTCTCCGATTGCGCGAACATAAAAAATCTGCTCTCGCTATCTTTCTCTTTGATAAACTTTCAAAGCGATCCACGAGCTGCAACTGGAATCGGTGCTACTAAACCACAGTGCTACAGTAAAATTGAAACGGGTTGAAATCCAATACGGACAAAATAACACCGTAAATGAAATGGAATTGAATAAAAATTCAAACATAAACAAATGTGTGTTGCACTGCGAAAAACAGATTCGTATAGTTTTCCGAGAAATCTGTGTGCGACACACACAAAACGACCACAAACAAATGCAATGACTCTTTCGTTTTTTGTCCACGCTCAGGTCAATTGCAATGCGCGACTCGAAGAAAATGTGTGTGTGTGTGTGTGCTTTTTTTCTGTTTCATTCGTGCGCCCGCAATGGACGCAAATCGGAGCTATCGTTTCACACGCCGCCACAAATTTAATTGTAATTTTTCAATTCCACCGAAAAATTATTCTACAATTTTTTTTGTGCTTAACTCATGTGCCGGTAGTTTGCTAATCTCTTCAGCAACGTTTTTTTTCGTCGTTTGCTATCGGAATTGTTGTAAAATTGTTTGTCATGCGCCCGTTCATGTGAGTTCAAATCACTACTTCAATCGACTTTACACATTCACACGGCACCGCCAATCATAATTTTAAATGCATTTCGGAAACAGACAAACTGCAATTGCTCTCGATCTTTTCAAACCATTTAAACTTCGTGTTTTTATTGACTTCACGTTCCAATTTATGGCCATTTTGTACGATTGTGAATCACGTGGCATTTATAGCTTGAAATATCTGTTGAATTCCGTATGGAGCGCACGGTGTTTTGAGTGTGAAGTGAATTAGTAAAAAACAACTTTGAAACGGTGCCTTATACTCGGTCAAGTGGTTGTGCGAAACGATTTTTGCAGATTGCATAAAAACTCAGTTTGAGTAAAAACATTTGATAATCAATTTGAGAAAAGGTGATCAAAGTGGAAAAAAATCTTTTTCAGTTCAACTTGCATGTGGACGGAAAGAACTTGGTGGTGATTTTAATTATATAGAAAAAGAATTAAGTAAGATTAAACTCAGAGTATAAAGGTCAATTGAATTGAAATTATTTGTTCAAGATGAACTTAAAAAAACATTTTTTTGACTGAAAAAATCTCCTAAACCAAAAGAGAAATAGTTTCAAACATCGAAACGTCTTTTTGTTGCTAAATCGGAATAAGAAAAAAAAGTTCCAGGAAAAGACGTTACAGAAAGTTCAAAGAAATTCGGTCGAAAACGTAAGATGTAAAAAAAAACGGAAACATTTTGTGAAAATTGACAATCGATAGAACTAAGGACCGTGTTTAGTTAGTTTCCCATACAAAACCAGTTCAAAAGACGATGTTCTTGACTTTGTAGTCCAACTTCAACCCAAAAATTGCCCGACACCAATACTGATTTCTGAAAATGTTGCCACTGGATCATGTCGACATTAGGTGAGCGAACTACTAAATGTCCACGTTTTTCTCTGTCCAATTACACAATCGAAGGCTTGACCTCGATCAAACATGCGTTTGCCGTGCGAAATCTTGAAATTAACTGGTTCATCTGCGATAAAAAGACACAAAAATCACATTGATAACGACACATTACGAGTGTGCGTGTGCGCTAATGGTACCAAATAACTGAGAAGCTTCGCACTATTTGTTTCATTGTTTGTTTAAGCAGGACTCGTTTTGAGTTCGCAATATTTGATTCTCGTACGGAAATTGGAGGGGAAATTTCAAAGTTTGAAATTCAAACAATAAAATCCAAAGAAAGTTCAGACTAATTTACTAAGGAAATTGTGCAATTGAAACTGACTAGGTATTAAATGAAGAAAAAGAAAGGAAATTCAGAAAAAAAATTATTTATAAACAAATAATCAACGAATTTGGTAATCCAAAACAAGTAACATTTGAAGAAGAAGAAAAAATCGCTCAGTTCAAAGTACGTGTTCGTGCAGTGTGAATGATTTGAGTGGTTCTACGAAATAATTCAACAGAAAAAAAATATTGGTGGTTTTCGTTCAAATTTAGCAATTTTTTTTTCTCTGTAGCTTATTGTAAGCTTTATCGTATTTTTTTTTTCAAGAGCAACTCAATGGGCTATTTTTGATTAGCCTTCCGAAAAAGTCGCATCAAAGTTCCGTGATGGTTGTGCCAATATTTTGATAAAGCGAATAAGATGCATTTTCAATTCATTGAAATTTGCACGAAATTTTGAGCTCTCGTACATAGAGACATAATGTGCCTAATTGCAATTTAAAAATGTAATTTGGCAATAGTAAATCACGAGGAAGTAGAGCGAAACACATAAATAGACTACGGAATCAATCAATGAATACACAAATGAAACGGCAATGTTTAACCGAAGGAAAATAGTCACGAGATGGCGCCGTCGTTCACGTAATACCAGTGAATTGTCAAATAAACTGAACTATCCACTCCTGTGCTGACATTTTATGTCGGTATTTTTCTTACTCGTTTGCGTCAATCGTACGAAATTGACAAAAACCGAAATGCAACAGCGATTTATTTAACAAATCCAGGTTTATTGTCGCTTTCAATGCAAACGCAGAATTCGTCAATTTGTCACAAAAATAAAAATGTGAAATAGAAAGAAGAAAAGAGAGCAATAATGACAGAACCATATATTCATTCAGCCACTATCGATTTCGTCAAACAAAAATCAACACGGAGAGAGTACGGTTGCCGTGGCCGCCGTACTCATATGCGTACGCAAAAGCTTATCGGTGAAGCGGCTCGCTTTGTTGCCGTGTGCTACGGAATTGGATCCATGTGTCTGTTTTGTTGTCGCCGTCGTCGCCTCGTACAATGTGACTCACTGAGCTATCAGTAATGCGAACCGTGCACGAGATATCTGTGTGAATGTTATAGCTATATCATAGCCATAGTTGATGTCGCAAACATGCGTTTGCCTTACAAACACATTGGTGT